GTATGAAGAGTCCACCTAGGGGAATTGAAAAACCCTGATTCCAAACCAATGGTGCATATGGGCTCCAGGATCTTAAGGGTACAAGTGGTGTATGGACCTATTGTTAATCACCGACTACCATGGGACTGCATCTCCTAATGTTGCCCCACTGCCTTGAGGATTAATCCTGTAGGTCAAAGGCTCGAGGAGCGGACCCTTAAAGAAACTATCTGCTTTGCTTTTGGCTCCCGGGAAGTATTCCAGCCCTAGTACAAGTCGAATGACCGGTGGCGCATATATATTTGGCGCCTTCTTGTACCAATGTTAATGTGTTTAAATAGATGGTTTAAAGTAAGCGCTCTGTTTACTAATAGATTAGGAAATATATTGTGACATTGGTTAGTATGTAGTTCTGTTTTCTTCGGAATCTAAAACAGCTGTTGTTCTACTTGATACTGCCCAAAAGCACTTATCAACAACGAGCTTCCATGTGTTATATAGCTTAAGTTCAGACGGCTTTCCGTTTATTTAGTGATAGATACGGAAGTCAATCTAGTGACTTAAAAACATCTTTTTACATTTCATTTGACTGTTTCTTCGTAACTAGTAAAGTAATGAACTTATAGGACCAGATAATATATTTAATATTCGTCAGGTTAGTTTCTCATCTGTTGATTAAGTTTAAGCGGTTTTAAATAGTTCGAGCATTATTCAAAACCTATCACGTTCTGTACCGTTATTCCCGATAGCCTGTTTTCAGATGAAGTTTTTGCACGGATTCATCACTTGTACCGTAGGCGAGACGCCCGTTTATCAATTAAAGGACGGGTAGCTTTTCGCTCTGTCCGACCTTATGTGTGTGAAGCGCAACCACTAAGGATCGAGGATATTCGTAGACTACTAGTATTTGCCCATAGGTGTCTTCATAGCACCCCTCATGTATTTTAGGAATGCCTGGTTTAGGATACTGGGTAAATATGGCAAATCGATTGATCCTGTAGTCTCCGTCAACTGAGGTGGCTGGGACGTGTATTACACATGCTTGCCTCGACGGGGGATGTCTAGTGTAGGGGTAAGTTTGAAGAAAGCTAGTGGCATCCTAAACAAGACATGGCATCAATCTATGAAGTTAGTTGTATTGGGCCATGTTAATAGGTGTACTCTACCGGGCTGGGTGCGAAGTGTTTATCACAATTAATGGTAAGAGACTGAATGGCATTTCTCGGAATCGTTTGCAATGCCACAGTCCCATTCACTCCTTGTCTTTAGGACCTGAATCCCGAAATCTTATTACTGCTATTTTTCAATGCCTAGTCTTTTCTGTCTATGCTGATACTGCTATTACTGCTACTACTCTCGAATTTATTTTATTTTTTATTTATTTGAACACATAAATATTGGTACAAAGGGGCACCAAATATATATGCGCCACACAAAACATTGAGAATTTAAGGAGAAGGGAAAAAAAAGGTAAGGAGCGTAGGGAATTATAAAAAAAGAGAACAATAATGGGGGAGACAAAAGGTACAATCAGGAGAAATCTCTCAGTTAAGGAAGAAGCAACCACTCTTTACGAAGAAAGTAAAAGAAGGTTACAGCAGGATCGCCACTGGCTTCTATTCTGAGCCATATCTGATAACGTTTCCAGCCACTGTGTTACACCATCTCTCGGACCCCAGTCAGGGAGTCGTGAAGGACCAACACAAGCCAGCCCTTTGCAGCTTTCTTTCATACCACGACACCATGTCATATACTGACCACCTCTCCGCTGTTTCCAACCTGTCCCAGAGTCGGCAAATAATGCACGACGTGGAAATCTCTGGGACGACATTCGTAGAACATATCCAAGCCACTGAAGTCGGTGTTTCAAGATGGTGACACCAATTGCATTATCGTCTCTGTGCCCGAACACACGATGCCGAACCTCTGCATTACTAACATGGTGTTGCCACTGGATGTCAGCAACCCTTCGGAGACAGCGATGATCAAACACAGAGAGTCGTCTAACATCCTCAACTCGAAGAGGCCAGGTTTCACAAGCATAGAGCAAAACTGCTCTCACCGTCGCGTTGTAGATCCGAACTTTTACAGCCAGACTAACATCACGAAGGCACCAAAGATGGCCCAGATTGGCATAAGCCACTCTGGTTTTCACTATACGTGCATTGATCTCATCATTCACGCCACCACCAGCAGCACTTATGCAGCGACCCAGATACACGAACTTCTCGACTACTTCTATCTGCTCACCATCCAGAGTGAGGTAAGTCATCTGGGTCCGGTGATTTGTAACGTTTCAAGAGTTGGAGTTCCTTGCGGACTTCCGCCTCACTTGGTGGATCAGTTGTCACCGGCCATGGAGGGCAGGACAGTCTGACCAATGTTGCCGGAGCAGCAGGCCAGTTGAACTGCCCTTCGAAAATTTCTGCCCATCGTCCAAGACGTCGATGGATGTTAGTGATTGGCATCCCGTCATCCTTGCAGATTGTTTCGCTCACACCAGACTTCTTGCTGCCAGTGGCTCGGATGAGTTGGAAGAGCTTCCGGTAGTTACCAGAAGTAGCTGCTGCTTCCAGCTCATTAGCACGCTCCGACCACCAGGCTTCTCGGTCCTTACGCAAGCTTTGCTCGATTTCATTACGTAACATCCTTTGTCTGTGGTCAAACTCACGGTCACCCAGAGTAGACCGACGGGCTTCAATCAATTGTAAGGAACCAGAAGAAACCCAGTGGCTTATAAGCGGGACGTTTCGCGAACCCACAACAGACTGTACCCGCCATTTTCATGGCGTCATGCAATTGCAACAAATGCTTATCTATACTTTTCGGTGGAATGGTAGCTAGCCTGGAACCTAGCTCGATTGAATACTTACTAGCAATAGAAGTTGCAACCAGCTTGCTAATATCAATCCTTTGGTGGCGGTCACTTCGTTGGCCACTAAAAAGTAAGGTAAGATTGGCGCAGACCAGAGCATGATCAGATTCCAGATAGGTACTCCAAAAGGAGCGGCAGTCTTGTACACAACCACGCCGGCGGTAGCTGATCTCGATGTGATCAATCTGAGTCCAGGCTTGAGATGTAGAAGGAGGACGCCAGGTGGCACATCGGCGATGACTGTGCCGAAAGTTAGTGCTAGCCAGAAACAGGTTGTGGTCTGTGCATAGTTGCAGTAGACGTTCCCCGTTATCTGTCCTGCGACCAACGAGTCCCCATTGGCCACCTAAACGACTCTCTTCTGTGCCTAGACGCCCGACCTGAGCATTCAAGTCTCCGGCTAGTACTACAATATCTGTCGAACGCACTTTCTGGAGAAGAACAGTTAACTGGTGGTAGAATTCATCCTTGATTGCATACGGGCTGCAATCTGTCGGGGCATAGGCGGAGATGACGAAAAGCCATCGTTTCTCACGCCTATTTCTTCTCACTTTGATGGAACTTTCTAGTCTAACAGCACATAACCGACTGTTAATGGGGATCCAATCGATCAGTGCTGCCTCAGCTCTAGTGCTTAGTGCGACACCAACGCCAGCAAGACCAGATGAAGATGCCACAGGGTCCCCGGATAAACGCACGTAAAACAAGCTTTTTGAAGTGACAAATGGAGAGCGAATTAGTAGTACTTCACCAGAGTCCTGAATACGGGTCTCGGATAGACAACAAACGTCAATATTAAGACTTTCCAAAGACATAGCCAGCCCCATCTGTTGTCTGACCTGCATAAGTGTGCGAACGTTAAAGGCAGCCAGTTTGAATGGTGCACGTGGTTTCAGAAAAACTGCTTCAGTACTCTTATTCGATGGTAACATACAATATTCAACCAGGCAGTGACACGAGAACGTTTAGATAGAGCCGAATGTCCACCATAGGCGAGCTGCTGTATGAGTAGAAAAATAAGGATAGACAGAGTGGAAATAAAAGCGAGTGAATAAATGACGTAGTAAATAATAATAATAATAATAATAATAATAATAATAATAATAATTATTATTATTATTATTATTATTATTATTATTATTATAACAATAGCAGTAATAATGATAATAATGCGAGTTATTTGATTGTTAATCGGGGCGAAGAGAATATTTTCCATAAGTAGACTGTTCATCATGTTTTTGTGTGTGGGCTGAGATACTGCCCGGGTGCCCAGACCGAAGCAGGTGGTTTTCTTAGGGGGTCACACCCCGAGCCTTTGACCTAGAGGTCTAATCCACAAGGCAGTGGAGCATCGTGAAGAGATGCAGTCCCATGGAAGCCGGTGACCAAGAAATCGGTCCATACTCCATTTGTTACCTTAGGATACTGGAGCCCATATGCATCATTGGTTTGGGACCCGGTGAAAGCGCCGGACATTCGCTTTTCGTCCTCTCATTGTTGTAAGCAACACCCCTGCCACGAGAAGGCAGTGAGTAGGACTTCCCTAGCAGAGGCTATATACGCGTGGCCGTGTGAGAGTATTTCGAGAGGGATGGCAAACACACCCTACTCTCGGCCATACCAGGGCATTTGGGGGCACTCTCGAATTTACCTAGAGACGATTTGATCTCATCGTGCTGATGTGGCGCGGTAACTTAAAACTATGCACGTGTGTCAGCCTCTACGTTGTGTATGACTCTCTGACTCTGAAATTTAGTTCTAAAGGTTTTTTCAACGAGAGAAAATGAATGTTCAAGCTCAAGATCTGACAGTGATTGGTGAATTCAATGAGTACTAACCTTAGTTGTTTAAACGAAAATAATCTGATAACTGGATTTTAAGCTATCAGCATGACAATTGTTTAGAGGTATCTGGTAACAGTTGTAAATGTATGATGGTATCATAAATACACTCACAAGTAAACAAACACCAAGTAACCTACTTTTCTGTTTTTACATATCTATTGCTTTCTCAGTTAGTAAGGCATATACAACCTAGAATCTGACCATTTGTGCCGTGGGGCTGCATCGATTGTTTTTAAATTCGCTGCATGTAATTTTGTTATTCTAATATATTCCTATACGTATTTGTATATTTACATATTTAGGTACTGTATTAACATGAACTGATGCGGTTAACTGGCTTTCAGATGCCCATATCACTACTACCACCAGTATATCCATCAAAATCACGAGACTCCTTAAACCTAAGAACAAAAATTCATCAGCCTCCTGAATCAGGAGGAAAGATTAGTAGTGCTGCTAGTGAAGCTGCTTTACATAGATGCAGATTATATGAATTGCGCCAGTCGTTTCTGGGGATCCCTACTTCAAAAGACCCTTGTCCTCATTGTCAGACAGGAATCTCTACGTGTACATATGTGAGCACAGATAATCACCCTTTTTATACCAGCCCTGTGGGTAGTTCAGGATGCACTGTTTTAAATTCAGCAAGGTTTGACCGTGGTTCTTGCATTTATGTAAGTACCCCTGATATTGATTGTCTTTCTTCTGCCACTGAATCAGACAAACTTCGTGAATCTGTAAATACGTACCGTAAAACTACTCAAAAGCAGCCTTCACTAAGCTATTATCCTAATGTTGAATACGATCAACTTGATAAGGCTGATCAACTTCCAAGTCCTAACTATTCATCCTTTATTTATTCAAATCCTCTTACATCATGTGAAAAATATGCGTCTATAGGATCTTCTTTGTCTGAGAAATTTACAGCAAAGCCCAATTTATTTGTCAGTAAGGCTGGGTTTTGTCCTTTAACTCCAGAAGCCGTTCATTTATCCTCAAACGAGTTCGCAGAAAGTTCTAGTCCCTCAAATTCTGACTGTTCTCATGAATATTTTGCATCTGATGAGAATCTAAACTGTCCGAAGTCCAACATTAATATTACTAGTTTGAAAGATGTAACATGGTTATCTGAACAGTGTAAAAAGAGTGAGGATATCCAAAGTTTTTCGCATCGATTTAATAACAAAAGTTCGGAACCAAGGCACCGGTTTAATAAATATAAAGGCGGATGTGATCAACTGAACCCAAATTTACATTATTCAACAACTAGTTGTTTACCTATGTCAAACCCTTCATCTAAAGACACAAGAAAGTCCGACCGAGTTAACAGTTATAATTTTAAGACCATTCAATCACATGATTTACATAGAGATAATACAAGTGATTGTTCTGTATCTATTGATAGAATAAATAAAGACGATTTTCCTTATAAAAATAAATATGCATCTGTTTTGCCTGCTAATCTCGAGCTTAGCACAACACATTCACATTGTGATGACTCACAGCTTCGTTCATCAAATAAGTCTGTGATTGGTCGCTGTTTTTCGGTCTCACCCAACCGTCGGTTGTCACACTCATTATCTGTTTCTCGGGACAATCGAAGTAATGCAATGGTTGATATGAGTGAAAAAGTTTGCACAATGGCTAATTCAAACAGCTTCACAAACGGACCTATTTATAACAAATGTCTTGATGATGATATACAAAATCATGTAAGATCGTCAAACCAACGTTCATCGTGTTCTTCAGTGCCCTATAATAAGACAGATCAGAAAAGAATAAGTTCTGAATCACTTTCTTTGAGCGATAGTCAAGATATAATGTATTTATATTCATATGAACATAATAATAATGGTAAATATAGGAAACAAAGAAGTGGACAAAGTAATCAACCGAAAAACAATGACAATCAGATGCGTGTCGATTCTATACTAGAAAAGCAAGACATCTCGAAAAAATGTACTAAACCAGTGTCAAGAATTACTGTGGAATGTGACGTCTTTCATCGGAGTCTTGAACTTAAAAATATCCCCACAGAACAATCTAGATCGCATAGAAACCAGAATAAAACCTCTTTACAGAATAGTGTTATGGTTAATGTTTCAAATCAAAGCAGACAATTAGCTTTGATACAGGCACATGCATTAAAATGTACTGACGAAGATGGGATTTCTTTTGAAACTAGTTTATCATCATTGCCATCCTCAGCGTTATCATCTTTTTGTCCAGGTAACACTTCTCTAGTTACTGCTCATTCTCATAACATTGGTCGTTTGAAAGTGACTCTACCTGGTCTTGCAGTTGATCATTTGTCTAATAGTCATCACTCATCCGACTGTTCAACGCGTGGTTCAATATCTTATCAGTCTAATAATAATCGTAATCCAAAATCACAAAACCTAAATTTTAGAGGTACTGTCACAGCAGATGCTTGTAAGCGACGTCATGGGAGACTGAATACTGAATCCTCTAAAAGCTGTAAAAACAGAATAGAGATATCTGAAAGCTCTTCTAGTCAATCGCTTTCTCCATCCTATGTCAATGTATTACTTCCTGCTCAGTCATTTGATTTGTCATCTGGATTTCCTTCTTCAGATAATCTGTCTACTAATAGGAATTTAGTAAGTTGAATTGATAAACGGTATAAATAATGACAAATTGTAATAAAAAATTGGAAATGATTTCAGTACAAATCAGTTGTGAATGAATGTTATCTCACCACGTTTAAGCAAACTCACCATATGAAAACCCTCTAAAAATTAAGAGGGAAAAGCCAATAAGGCTTAGCGATGTATGGTAATTCAGTGAATATTAACTGTCATAAAGGATTAACTTTCTTCATTATCACGAACGCTAGTTTTAGATAATACAACACTTTCCATTGTACAACCATAGTTTTCAGAAACATTTATTATTGTTACCATAATAACTAATGGCAACATTGGTGGTTTATTTGCTTTTCTTTTTCATTCGAACTTTAGCTGTCTGTTCGGTATCACGTGCATAGAAACATGATACTGGATACTAAGAATATAAAATATTAAAATGTTCTAAGTTTTGGAAATATTCTGCATAAATTGGTAATCAACATTCAACAGTATTATCTGTTCTCATAACTGTCAGCCAGTTTTTCATGCCTTGTTTTTCAGTATTCTCATTTCGAGCTTTTTTCTACAAACGTTAAATAATCTGAATGAACATATTCTTTACTACATGTTCGATTTTTCAGAAAATCGTCTATATCTACACTTTAATTCCTGGCAAAAAATCAGTGAGAAAACTAATGAAACGTTTGGAAATTTTACAAGCCAAGCAGAATTAGTCTGGAAGCATTGTATAATGCCCTTTAGGAAATATTTCTATCTGAAATAACTGCATATCATTAAATTCCTCAGTGTTTTTTAGTTCATTTATGTATGTTCACGAGTAGTTACCGGGGAAGGACTTATTAGTGTAGGTATTATTAGTTCAATCTGATGATTAGGATCTTTTACAATTTCAACGTTAATCTCTGTAAACCCAAGTGATATTAACAAATTAGAAATTGTAGTTGATGTAAACAAATACGTGTTCATCATAAGCTACTAAAAATTAATTTTGGTGATTATAACTGTTCTGAGTGGCATTGATTGTATGTGGACGTCTGTTTTTAGTTCTGGATACTAAATCTCAGTATTTTAGCGAACTTTTGAGGTACTCAGTAAACGTTCTTTTTGTGCAAGTCACCATAGTTACACTACTAATGTGGTGTATGCTACTTATGTCTGTCGACATAAATAGTATGTAACATCAATCATAAGTGGAATGCCTGGCAGGAGAAGATTGATGATATGAGTCCAAATTAAGATGATCTGCACACCAAGTAAGGTTTATATATTCTACTTTGTGCCACATCTTTTATCTCGGGGTTGTTAATACTGATCGACTTCTCAAACTGAAGTAGATGAAGTGAAGTCTAAATATGTGAGTTCATGCCTTTAACGAGTATGACTTGTCTTCAAACTCCAAAGCTAATAGATGAATTTATTCTAAGTTGATTGGACGCATTTGTTTACCTGAATTGTATAATCTTTCCAGTAGTATCTTAGTATTTATTTGTTTACTGATCTGTAAGTGAGTGATTTAGCCTTTCAACTTTTGAACTCCATGTTGATAGCTTTAAAATAAACTATGCTCACGACAATTTGAGCAACTAACTGACAATCATTCAGCAACCTTCATCAATAATTAGTGACTGGATCGGCACTTGGTTATGGGATCGCATTGTTCGTTACTTTTTTATATCGTGACGTTTTCATCTTGCATGTACAGACATCTTGTTACGCACCAGATTAAATCTAGTTCCATTGGCCTCCTGTTAATTTTGCTCAACATTAACATGTTGGCAGTTTTCACTTTTTGCTACGTTTTTTTCACATTACGTCTTCTAAGCCGAAGTTGGTAAGATCGTAACCTTATCTCTAATCTAGATGCATATATACTTTCTAAAGTTAGGCCTGTGGTAGTGTTAGACTAATCCACATGTTGCTAAGCTATGAAGATAAGAGAGTGAATTCAAGCTCAATTAAATTTTAAATGTATCTCGATAACTTGGTAACATGTTAAACATACAAAAGACATATATACTATGATATTCTTTTAGTAATAATTATCTATGTATTTCGTTTTGTTTTCTGCAAGAGAATTTATTAAGTAATCTGGTTGCATAAATCTCATGTTTATTAATCGTATATTGACGTGTTTATATCTCCCACCATCATCATAATCATAACTTCGTCATTTTTAGGATACCATTAATAAGCGCTCACCACGGCCTTCATCAGGCCATTCAAGAACCTATCAAAAAACCCAGGATTTGGAGAGAAAAAGTATGCGTCAAAGTAATTCTCGACATAATTTCAAACCTGTAAATAAGGAATCTCAAATCCATAATCTTGTTCCTTCAAAAGTTTGTCGTGTTGGTCAATACATATCTGAGTCTTCTTCAATATTATCTGTAAATGATCTGGATGACATAAATGATCCTGAGAAGTCTCCTGTATATGTAAGTGAGGATACACGAGAATATGACTATATCAGAAAAGACCATAGAAAAATCTCAAAGTTGGCTGCAAAAATATCTCATTATCTGGAAAAGGGTAGAGAGGCAGAGGTTAAAAACTTTGTGAATAAAATACTACGTAAACCCGAATCAAGGCGCGTTGTTGACGAATTGATACGTTTATGTGGAAATGATCTTCACAAAGTTCTCAATCTTAATGTAAGTTCTTGCAACTATCTAGTTTTTCTTCAAATAATTTCTCTTTCTAAAGTCAATTTATTGGATACAACTGCCCTATCACACTGAAAGATTTCCCGACTGTTTGAATCCCTAAATCTTTCGAATAGGCTGGTAACTTTAATATTTGCCATAATTTTTCCGATTATTGAGGGATTCTTATATGCAGTCGATTCTTGACGTATCGGGGCTGGAAAATATAGAAAGCAATAACTGTCTCACATCACATATATTTGGATGGAAGTCGATAAAATTGTGCTACACTGTTGTCTATACTATTGACGTCCATTGAGACATTACCTGACGTTTTCGGGTGGAAGGGTTGTATATAAAGTGTATTAAATGTTAAGCTCTTTTACCTGTGGGCTATCACTACGTGTCATATATCATTTTAGTACTCTATGAACATTACGCTTTTGAAATAGCTAATCTTGTAGGAATATTCCACAAGCTATTAAACTTGGCGTTTTTCCATAACGTTTTATACGTTGAGGACAAACGAACTTGATACCTCTGTGAAAGTAATCTATAAAATGTGGATTGTTCATCTGTTACGTAAATTAATGAACATTAGTCTCTACGGTAGTTTCATCTTCGAGTTTGATAACTCTAAGAAATCAAGTAAGGCTTTTGTACTAGTATTTCCAACATTCAATATGGCTCACTGCAACCTATAATTAGTCCAGTGATCACTGTACGTTCATGTTCAATAGAATTAGATTAGCTGTGAGGGTGAGGCAAAGTAGTAGTAAATACAATTCACTAAGCGGTTAGTGGAGTTCCGGAATAGTTTAATGACTTACTATTTATAATGCAGATTTATTTTGATGCACTTTAGCAAATGGAGACACTGGAAAATTTGCAAAAAAATTCAACTCCTTTGATTCACCTTGGAGCTTCACTTTCTGACTTAAGGACGTCATACACGCTTGATTTCAATCCGTACAGGAATGTCAATTCACATAGGCGAGGTAGCTGTGGAAGCGTACTGTCTTCACCTTGGAATATTACCTCTTACGACCGTTCTTGGGCTCCTGCGTCACATAATCGGTCTACTCTTGGGTTTCCCAATAAATTATTGCCGTTTCAGAGAAAGCATACTTCTTCCTTATACTCACCTAATACTATTCGTTACATTGAGTGGCCTTCTAATGGATGTATTCGAAGCAAACCACCTTCACTGCCACCGCCACCTCCTCCTGTACCTCCAGTTTTGTTTAAGACAACAATTTTACCACCGGACGATCGAATTCATGCTATAGATACGCATGCAATTGAAGTAAGTTGCTGCCATTTTTTGTTTAAGATATGTTTATTACTCATACATGTTTTGCTGTTCACTCCACAGATGCCATGTGTATTGATTTATTTCGTTTGTTGAATGATGCTTTACTTTTTCAATAGTTAGATGTGTAGTTTGTGTATGTTACTATTCCATATCTTGTTTCTAATTTATGCTGTGTGATGAGATTATTCAAAACGGTACCATATATATATATATATATATATATATATATATATATATATATATCAGCATTTCTTTCTGCCTCTGTTTTCCCGCAAGTATCTGATGTCGATCTTCAATGATTGGTGTTGATATGGCGATTTTGTTTCCAACAGGTTGCTGTTTAACTTAGTAATTAAAGTTGTCTTACTCTGTGTACTTTTCTGTAGTATATTTTCTAACCAGTACATTCGCTACAAAATTGTTTCAGGTTACTAATCGCGTTCATATGACATTCTCTGAACTGATTTCTGATTTAACCACTGGTATGGATAACGAAGTTGAAGTTATACGGTAAATATCATTTCGCCGATTTGTTTACTGTAATGTTAAATGATTCAGACTTTTATTTAATAATTAATTTTGGGGTAAATGATTTGATTATGTAGTCATGTATAATTCCAGTTCAACTATTTGCAAACTATTCAGCCCTTCTAGAAAGTGCGCTAGATGCAACTTATTATAATATCAAAACTATTGGCCTCATTATACCAAGATTGAACACCATTTATAATGTCGATCCACTCTCATTGAGTTGAGAATATTCACTAAGAGTTTCAGTCTTGTGGCCAAACTCTGCATCGAGTCACGTGTAAGAATATTTTATGAGATTCATGATGAACGTGAATAGTCGGCTAAAAGCATGTGATGAAAACAAATGTAGCATATTATCATGGATGGAAAACAATTTCACAAACTGTTGATATCATCTACATGTTTAAACCCATAAATCATAGGAGTAAAGCCGATTATGGTCTAGTTAAACATTAATTATAATACGAAAACGAACTATATTATTATATTTCATCATCCCTCAAAAATGCCTTGAAAAAAATCTTTAAGAATCAGGAGGAAGCTTTAACAGATCTGCATTCTTTGGGAAACTAAGCGTTCCCGGGAAACGACGGATTATGTTTTCATTATCATGATTAGACAGCTATAGACTTTATAACCACTTTAAGCATGTTTTCCATAAGTCCCTAAAATCTTAAAATCATATATGATTTTCCGTCAGTCAGTGAGCTACAACATAGGACCAGGCACACATATGCATCAGTCCAAGTTGCCATACCTCATTAGCACAACATGATGAACACCAAATTCATAAAGTAGTTACGTCAACGGTAGTAGTATATAAAAGATTGCATATAAGGATATAGTACAGGAAGAAAGGATTAGTTGGTAGAAGGAAAGATATAAAGCAATTTTAACCTCATAGTTTAAGGGAAGACACAGAGTGTATACACCTACGTCATTGTGACCGATTCTGAGCCATGTCACCCAGTCTGCAATCATTGGTTACGATAGTCACGCGAACCCCAACCAAGTAGTCTGCATCTACCAACATGGCTAAGACTAGAAGTTAGTGACTTCAAGCACTGATGCCACGTTTTAGTTTGGCCGCCCCTAACTTCCTTCCAACCATCCCCAACACTAGTCAGTATTACTCGTCGTGGTAATCAGTGTTCAGGCATACGTAACACGTGGCCCGACCATCTCAGTCGATGAAGATTTACAACCTCATCAACTGATTTACCATCGTTCCCTAATACCCTGCATGTAACCTCACTATCTCTTACCCGGTGATCCCAGCAGATGCGAGCAATATTTCTAAGACAACTGTGATCGAATACTAGTAACTTACAAGTATCCTTAACGGCCAAGTTTCCCAGCCGTGAAGTATACTCATCTCTTAATTGACCGGTGGAGATATCGCCTTCTCCATAGATGATGTAAGTTGGCAAAGGCCAAACGAATCCATGCAGAGATTCCGTCAGACACCAAGCCATTAGGGTTGATCAGACTTCAAAAATAAGTGGAGTTGTCAATGCGTTCAACCACTTCACTCCCTACCCTTAGTTCACATGTTGACACAGACCAGTCCTGGAGCAACAACGTGCATTTAGAGGTAGGTTATCACTTTCCGGTTGCCCGAACCGTGGAAGGGTTCTTCTAGAGGTACCTGCAAAGGAAATCGGGTTGGAGTTGATCTTAGTTATTTGAGATCATGACCGCAGTGCCCAAGGGACAACGATTTGACCTTATTGTGGTTAATTTTCGTGTTACCTCTGTACTTGTTGAGACCTTATCGCCGGAGACGGATATCCGTGAGATAAGGCGACGTGTGCATTTTTAGGGTTGACCTTTCCTAACCCCATTCCTCCTTGTGGGAAGGCAGCATCGCTGTTATGCTGATTGTATGAAGGAAACACCTTTCTGCTGTCACACTTCTGTACAGTCGGCAGTACGACTTCGCTTTCAGACCTTACGTTTGATGCTTTTAGTCTTACCGATCTGTTTGGTATGGTAGGACCTTGAGGAACGATTGTTCCAGCCAGTATAGCCCGATTAGTTCATCACGATAGGCAAGCCTGGTCACCACGTCAAGGTAGCAGCAACGGTCCGGAGCGAGCGATTTCATATATACCCTTGCTTTCTGTACATGAGCTAACCTTCAAATTTAAACTATTTCCATACATCTCGCCTTCTGTCCTTTTCCGGGGTTTAAAAATAAATATTTCTGTGTACGAGAAGACGGGTACTAAGTTAGTGTCTGACTCTTTGACCACAAATATATCTCCACTACAAATTGCTTTTAACTCTTCGCAAGTTCTCTAGAAATTATGCTAATTGAAAGAAACATCAAATATTGTTCATCGTAAATATTATTCTCATCATGAACACACAATGCAACCTTTCACAAAACTTTCTTTTTAGTTCTCTTTACCGATGGACAACTGGTAAGGATATCAGATGTGAAGATTATGATCCAGAAGCCCCATCTGATTCATTGATTGGGATGTTGAGACGGATGAAATACAATCAGTTATCGCGTAATGAAATATTTTATGAACTATGCCGGTACGTGTTTTGCCATTTCAGTTAAGAAAATTTATAGATCTGTCACTGAGAAAATACTTCTGATCGTTGCTCACTTTGAATGAGATCCATACAGACTTTAAGTATTTATAGGGTGATTGTTTTGTGACTTTTGGAATTATCATAATTATACTGTTGTATATATTCCTTAATGAGAAATATGAGCATGATGATTTTTTTTCACCATCAACTGGCGTAATTTTTAATTAATCTAATTTGATATTTGTTGTTTTATGTCAGTCAGTCAGTCAGTCAGTAACAACGTGGAACTTCGTACGTACGTACATCAGTTCGAGTTGCCATACCACATTAGCACAGAGATTCAGTTATCGATTCAAATCCCATAGTGGTAGAGGTACTGAAAGTATAAGTAGAGATAGCGGACATTAAGGTTTGATGGTGTTATTAAAGGAGTATAGTCCAGTGGAATAAATTGGGAAAGAAAATAAAGGACATGAAGAATTCAGAAGATTAGAGTTTGAGAGAACACAAAGAGTGGATGCACTTGCGCCATTGCAAACGATTTTGAGCCATGTCATTCAAGGTCTCTAACCATCGGTTGCTATCGTCTCGCGGTCCCCAACCAGGTAGTCTACACCTACCAACATGACTCAGTCCACTTGTCAGTGACTTCATGGATTTGTGCCAGGTTTTGGTCTGGCCGCCCCTAGCTTTCTTCCAACCTACTCCTACACCATAAAACATAGCACGTCGGGGCAGTCGGTGGTCGGGCATGCGCAACACATGTCCCAGCCATCTCAAATGATTGAGTTTCACTACTTCATCAATTGATTTGCCATCCTTACCTAGTACCCGTTTCATAACAACTGCATTACTTACTCGGTGGTCCCAGGATATACGAGCAATGTTTCGAAGACATCTATGATCAAATACTAGTAACCTACGAATATCCTCTACTCTTACCGGCCATGTTTCACTGCCATAAAGTAGGACGGAACGAACTGCTGCGCAGTAAACACGTCCTTTGGTTGATAGACGGATATCTCGCCTACGCCACAAATGACGCAAGTTGGCAAAAGCTAGTCGAGCCTTTTGTATCCGTGCTGAGATTTCGTCACACACCAAACCACAAGGGCTGATGAGACTTCCGAGATAAGTGAAGCGGTCGACACGCTCAACTACTTCACTCCCTATCACTAGTCCGGGTGTCGACGCAACCCAATCCTGAAGTAACATTTTGCATTTCGAGGGAGAGAATCGCATGCCGAACATGCTTGCATTGTTGCTTAGAGTGGTCAGTAGACTCTGCATTCTGTCAGCGTCTTCACCAAATAGAACTATGTCATCGGCATAATCTAAGTCAACAAGTGGATCTCCCGGTGGAAGTTCAACTCCTGGAAATTTAGATGAGGAAAGTGTCATCTCTAAAAGGACGTCAACGACAAAGTTAAACAAGAATGGAGAGAGTGGACAGCCCTGACGAACACCACTTGAGGTAATCAATTCTGATGACAGTTCACCATAAGCTCTCACTCGACCAGTTGTGTTCGAGTAGAGAGACTTTATAAGGTTGACGTACTTCTTTGGTACTCCCTTCAGTGACAAACATTGCCATAGAACCTTACGATCAACAGAGTCAAATGCCGCCTTAAGGTCGAGAAATACTACGATTGTGGGGCGTCTGAATGTGTGTCTATGTTCTAGGACCTGACGTAATGTGAATATTTGATCAATGCAACCACGTCCAGGTCGAAAACCAGCCTGGTTTTCTCATGTCTGCTCTTCACGAGCTTTGGTTAGGCGTCGAAATATTATTGAAGCTAATATTTTAGACACTATATTAGTCAAACTAATTCCTCTGTGATTGTCACAAGAGGACTTTTGTCCTTTCTTATAGACTGGTACAATCAGTGATTGAGACCAGTCAGATGGGATTACGTCCAGTTCCCAGATTCTACCTAAGACCTCAGTCAATCTCGCTGCTAATACTGGACCGCCATCCTTAAAAATCTCAGGGGTAAACCTGTCAGGGCCTGCTGCTCTCCCACGCTTCAGATTTCCTATAGCTTTTTCAACTTCATAAAGAGTCGGAGGACTTACATCAACTTGCCATTCAGGTCGACTGGAGATCGTGGGAAACCGAAGTGTGGCTGAAGGCCAGTTGAACTGATCCCTAAAGTATTCTGCCCATCGATCCAATCTCCTGGATTGAGAATGAATAATATGTCCATCTTTCTCTGCGATTGTTTCGCTAACAGTTGGGTTCCTAATACCGGTTTCCTTAACAAGTCTGAACAGTTGCCTGCTGTTACCTATTGCCGCTGCTTTTTCCATCTCTCTTGCTTTCGCTACCCACCACTGTTCACGATCTTTGCGTAGGCTTCTAGTCAGCTTACGCTTAAGCTGACTCCACTCTTCGTTATGTTCAGAGCCAGATGGAATGAGTTTTCGAGCATCTATCAGTGCGGTAGATGCTGCTGAGATCCAGTGTTTCTCCCTAACCTTATGGTTTACCGTACTTGCAGACATCACTGCTGTTTCTACAGCTTTTCGGATGTCATTCCATGCTGCCTCGGGGTGGGTATCACTTACATGGCTGCCTAACTGTTTTTCTAGATGTTCCTGAAATATACTCTTAGCTTGACTATCATTAAGTAGGACCCTAAGGGGTTTCCTTGTACCATCTTTCCTACGTCCAGTAAGACGTAGACAGATACGCGCTCGCACTAGAGCATGATCTGAGTCTAAGCATGTGCTCCAGAATGAGCGACAGTCTTCTATCGAGCCCCTCCATCGGTGGCTGATAGCGATGTGATCTATTTGGGTCCAGCGTTGAGACGAATTAGGGGGTCGCCATGTCAAAAGATGTTTTTCCTTATGCTTAAAGTTAGTGTTTGCAAGAAACAGGTTGTTATCTGAGCATAGCTGCAACAGACGGTCGCCGTTATCTGTTCTTTGAGCCGCGACACCATATGATCCACCCAGGTGTCTTTCCTTTTCGCTTAGTTTACCTACTTGAGCATTAAAGTCACCAGCCACTGTTACTACATCTGAACGCCTAGCTTTTCGGAGAAGGTCGGAAAGCTTTTTGTAAAACTCATCTTTTACATTATCTGAGCTGCAGTCAGTGGGACAGTAGGCAGAGACGACGAAGAGGCAACGACGAGTGTCCCTATCTTTCCGGGTCCTTACTGTTCCGTTTAGTCGGACAGCGCACAAACGACTGTCTACTGGGATCCAGTCTAAGAGAGCTAGTTCTGCCCTAGGACTCAATGCTATACCTACGCCAGCGACGCCACGGGATGCAGCATCAGGGCTTCCAGATACACGAAGCGTAAATCGAGTTGGTTCGTTACTTTGACATGGTGCAGTCAAATGAATGACACTACTAGGATCCTGTGTGCGCGTTTCGGAGACGCAGCACACATCGATGGAGCGAGATTCTAAAGTCTTAGCTAAGAAAGCTTGTTGTCCTATTTGGCACAGTGTTCGGACGTTGAAAGCTCCTACGTGTAGTTTGGAGCGTGGTTTCAGGAGACCAGGAATAACATTCCGCGTACTCGAATCGTTCGCACTAGTGGGGCGAGGTGATAAAGGGACGTGAGAAGAGTTAGTCGTGGAGATAAGAGAGTTATTAGGAGGTGTAGGAAGGATTTGAATGTGACCAACTTGGTCTCGTGTGCTGTTACGGGTATGAGGGCTGATATCACTTCCCGGTTGCCCACACCGTGGAAGGGTATTTCTTGAGGGACCTGAAAAGGAAATCGGATTAGTGTTGGTCTTAGCGACCTGAGTGCGTGACCGCAGAGCCCAAGGGACAACTGCTTGAGGCCGGTCGCGCACGGCCTCTTTGTGGGAGGTTTTTAATGTGTTAGCTCCGTTCTTCAAAGGGCCTTACCGCCGGAGACGGAAATCCGTGGGGTAAGGTGAGGTGTGACATTTTTAGGGTCAACCTTTTCTAACCCCTTCCTTCCTTGTGAGAAGGCAGCATCGCTGCAGATGCTTTTGTGATATGCATGACTTCAGAATAAACTTTAATTAGTATAATGGACGGTTTATTTTCCAAGTAAATAAATAAATGAACCGATATTGTTAGAATAGCTTACAATCTATATCGAGGTTTACCAATCATCTAGTTTTTAAATGCGAATTCCATAACTTCATGAAGGTATATCAAAAGAATCTAAAGTATTAGCTGTCAGCGTCATACGTGAGATTTTTTCAAACTGTTGGCTAAAATTTACAATGTCATCGATGTTCATGAAGGAAATTCGGTTGGTTTGTGTCTGGATCCCCCGGGAATTCCCTTATAAGATCCTCAAAGGCCAGAATAAGGCTGAAAACATTTCATCCAATCAGCATGTGACACAATTTTATAGAAAATACGAAGATTATTTGTCAAACTTTGATTAAATGAATTCTTACTCTGTTACCAAGTTTAACATGCTTCCAGTAGCTTCAGGTGATCAAAAGTTATTAACAACCATATATAATAACAGTTGTTTACTATACGTAATCGATCTTGACGTAAAACTTCTGTCCTTTTAATTTCTCTACCGTTCTGGACTCAAGTGTAGCAGTCTGGTTATCTAAAATGCGAGCGGAAAGTCGTTGGTAGACATATCAACTTGATCACTGGCACTTACTAATCGCATTACATGAGATTAAGTTACAGGAACTTCCTTTACGACCGATGCTTCACAGTCTACTGGGACAATTTTACCCAGATCTTAAGTAGAATTCAAAGTATCTCAGTAGTCTTCATTCAACCCATTATCTTCCATCGTTACTAATGATAATCCACCAACCTCTATTACTTCATCATTTTTTAATCTTATGAGGTTGTTACAACATCTATGTAAAATTATAAACACTTTTACTAAAAGGCTGTTTGTAGTCGTCTCGCGACGTTTTAAAAGTCTTTGTAAATCGGTGTGTAAGCATTTGTTGTTATTTTATCCCTTTTTGTTCTGATGTTTACGCTACTGTTGATCGATAAAATTAAGTGACAGGTTTCATACACATAGTTCCCTTTATCATCTTGAAAAGAGCAAGAACAAAGATTCTAGCAGAATTTCATGAATTCATTTTATTTCGTAGGTTCTCGTCAGTTGCTTACAACCTGTGATATTTAAGAATCATAATTACATAATGGGTTTACATTTCTTACATGAGAGGGTTTGGTTAGAAGTTATATTGAAGACATATTCGTAAAGTATATCATGGGTGTAAATGAAATTAATAGACTGAATATTGTAAATATATACCTAATGTGAAAGAACATTCTACACCATTAATTGTGACAGCAGTTCAAAAAGGTTAGAAACAATTGATTACATAATGAATAAACATTGATAGGAATATAGTGAGTAGCGTTCAGTTGAAGGATTATTAATTTGATAGTTGGAAAATAAAAATCAATGATGTAATAACTACAAAAAAATATTTTTAAGGTGCAGAGAAAGAATATTTGTCACAAAGGCAAGGAAAGATTAACAACCATCTCCTTTTGAACACAGGTCAGTTTTTTGACGCCCGATGGCAACGGCTTCAGCAAACTTCAGAAAACTGGAGTTTAACTGCTTACTAATCACCCTAAAGGATTGTAAGGTATCTACCTGATGTCCTGTATCAAGGAGATGTTTGGTGATTGCACTATTCAGTCCTTCTTTTCCTTGTTCTACGACTTCTTGCAACAAGTTCAAAAAATCTAAGATATGCTCTCCTTTCAGTTCGGCCAATGTAGCTGCTTTGGCAGGTACACGTAAATTTATAAATACAGTTGGTGGTAACATGAAAGGGGTGCTTGTCGACCTTTGATTGAGTTATTGAACATGTTGTTTTGTAGAGAATTAAAAGTTTAGCAGCCCGATAAGTTCTGGCTAGCGCAATATTCAGTCTCCTGTTGATTATGTGTGCGAGGTTATCACCTTTAAAGTTAAGATTTATAGATGCTGACTTTTTATTGACCGTAGTTATTTCCGTCTTGTTTTCTTTGCGCTTTTTATATTTGTCAATAAACTTTTGTAGATAGAAGTTGTTTCTTAGACATTTTTCTAGGTTCATTAATTCTTCTTCCAGTTTGTCGGTGGTACATATCTTTTCTACCCTGTCAAATAGTGTTTTAACCAGTGCCTTCTTGTAACTAATTGGACAGAAACTATTGGAATTCAGGTAGAGGCCATTCCAATTACTTTTTCTATAAACTGAACGTTGGACTGTCCTGTCTCCCCTACGTTTTATAGCAACATCAAGAAAGTGGAACATGTCTTTCTGTTCGGGTTAAGTTATCCACTTAGCTATTGAATCCAGTTAGCCATTAGCTTTTAGGGTGGGGTGACGAAACGCGCGTCCTAGATACTACTGCTAGCTACCATCCATCTCTTCTTAAAAACGCTTGTGTCTTAGTGGCAATATCGAGACAATCTTCACAGGATGCCCAAATGCCGGAGAGACTGATCAATTGCAGTCCTAAACGTCAATGGGAAAATTCGAACAACCATACAGATTCGAAAGATTATTCTTTTAAAATGTAGACTACAGTCAGGCAGTTGGATCTACCTCAAAATCTCAAACCAACAGACCAATCTATGGACTGGCTGATCACACATTTCGATCTTGCCTCTAGATTTCTTCCAACTCATTCCCAGCGTTAAACGTTCCACGCCGAGGTATACAGTGGTTGGGTATATCTAACACATGTCCTCAGTCTGCTCCGTCGATAAAAATTCACAACCTCATCAACAAGTCTGTCATCTTTACTTAGTATTCTTTGCCGAACCTCACAATTGTTCACTAGATCCTTCCACAATACTTGAGCAATGCTTTGAAGACAGCCATGATCAATAAACCACAATCTATTCATTTCTTATGTTTTCATAGGTCATATTTTACGACTAGGGAATAATACAGAGTGGACTACTGAACAGTATACTTTCTTTTTTTGTTGGAAGACATTCGTTTCGTCCATGCCATATAGGTAACCTAGGCTGGTAAACCCAACTGAACCTTCTGAACCCATGCTATGATTTTGTCAGACTCCAAGCCGTTATTACTGTTGAAGTTTTCAAGTGGAGTGGTCAATGCACCCAACCACTATAACTTAGTGGTAACATCTCAAACTGTAACTTTGATTGATGTGGGTCAAATCTTAAAATTATACGTACATGTTTGTATCCTAATATACGGTGTTTTTTTCAAGAAATGAGTCAGTTTCTTCAGGAGTTTGACTTCATTTTTCCATTGAAATATCTTGTTTGGAGTTCATTTCTTATATAAGCAAATTACCAGGATGAAAGCGTAACCAAGTGCATAAATGTATAATTTATATTTTGTTTAGTATCATCCATCTGTAGTGTCACTAGAATATTAGCAGTTTTAATAATTTTCTTTATCCAGGTATGCTGGATTACAATGTCAATATATAACTGGTTATTCTAAAGGTGCTGGATATCGTCCAGGCATGCCAATAAGAGATAATCAACTTTTTCGCAATACCTGGCTTGCAGTGTACATTTGTGGTGGTTGGCGTTTTGTAAATTGTAATTGGGGTGCTCGATATTTATCAGAAAGTAAATCTTGTTTTCCACTAATTGTTTTTATTTTGTTTTCTAATATTCACTTTAAATTTGTCCTGCATTACATCTACAGTTTCCATCTCTTACTTTTTCTGTCTGGTGTCATGGGGGCTGAAATAAAGTATCTCAGTAAATGTAAATGTTCGTCTATACAAATACGTAATTAGGTCTTTAAATTTGAAAAGTATTAAGTTTAGATTTCGTATTCCGATAAATTTATTTGTGTCAGTAGTGTAACTAAATTATATGGAATGCGTCACTTCCATATATTTCTACAACAGAATCACATAGCTTCAAAATTTTATGTTTTCAGAACGTTTATTGACAAGTCAACGCTGATAGATACTTGTGTGTGATGTCTTGTTAAATAATTGTCATAATTCAGTATACTTTACTCATGCCTATGCTGTGTTCTTGATCGGTTTTTGGTTGAATTGTGAGAGGATAGTGTGGTGTGTGCTACTTATGTAGATATAAGTTGTATATGACGTGAGTCATGAACAGAATGTCTGGCAGCAGGGAGACGAGAAGATCGAACAACAAAAAATGAAGAAAGAATGCAATTTGTATGAAAATGCAAGAATAAAGGAATTCTGAGTCATTTGAGACAATTGATGAACAATTTGCATATTGAGCATCTAATATATGGTTGTTAAATTTTACTAACAAGTTTTGTAATTTGTTATCAAATAGATTCGATCGTCCCCACCTGTGTTCTGTTCACTACAATAGTTTCGTGAATAAGGTAACCCTTACGCAATATGGAAAATCCCTCGTCCTAGGTTAAAAGTTCTTAAAACATATAAGTCGAAATTTCCTAACTTCAGAATTGTAAAGCTCTATCCATTGTGCGATAACCGATATTTTATGGTAGTGCAGAAAACATACAACAGTCACTTTATTTAGTAAAGGTTTTCAGCTTGATCGACTCAGTAGCATCTGGCTGTCTGCAGCAGATTAATAAACCTTTAAAATAACCAGTAGTAGAACAAATAGATTTACATAAATGAACATTAACATCTTCACATATATTTGGAGGAGACCATGTTTTAGTCTTAATGACAATCCTAAACTTTACTAATAACATGAAGTAAATAACTATGTGTCTTTTGGTAAAAGTTACCTAGCCTGATATCGTTAGCTGATAGCTCTCAAATTTGTTTGGTGAACAAATGTTCCGACCACATTCGAGAACTTGGAGATTTATGAACACAGTATACAAATTTCTTGGTCAGTTCGTAAAACTCATCTTTTCTCTTTGCAACTGGTTTTATTTGTAGATTTACCAGACAGTCGTTCATCTGAATGTGATGAATTTTATTTCCTAACTGATCCAGAACAACACGTTTTTGAGAATTTACCTGATTTAAAAGTATGGCAGCTATTACGCAAACCATTGAGTATGGATCGATTCTGTCATTTACCACTACTTAAATCACCGTTTTTCAATGCTAATCTATTTTTGAAAAAGAATTATTCGGATTGTTTAGTTACCAAAAATGGACAGGTAGTTTCAATATTTTATATGAGTACAATGTGGTATTCACATCATTCGCTTTGTATAAATGAATAATCTTTGAATTGAGTCTGTAATCTGATTTTTCAGAACTTTCCTTTATCTAAATAGTTCATCTCAGTATATATTAAAACTGTAGCTACAATAACTTGAATGGTGTTTCTGTTTTTTTCTTCAGCCCTTCTTTCCACAAGTGCGTGGTTTATAAAATAGTCGATTGAAGAATAACGAAAACATAACTATTGTTATATAATGAACGTAGATAAATCCACATCAGTGACTTATGAATTGTGGTAGACGATAATTTTTCTTTTGAGATTTACAAGCTTATAGAGGTGATTACTTACTTAAACCTGCAACCCCTCTCCAGATATAAGCCGTCGACCAAGGATCTTCAATAACTTTGTCCCTGTCTCTCCTTTCCAGTCTTTGCCAAGTGGTATTCATAGTCTTAATCTGTCGCCTTCGATTCCATCTGTCCCTTTTCCTTTTCCCCCGAGGATTCCGAGCTAGAGCTTGTCTTGTAATACAGTTTGGTTGTTTTCCACGAAATATGACCAATTCACCTTCAGCGTCTTTCCCTAATTTCTCCAACTGGTTACTGGTTTGTTCTACGCCAGAGTAGACTGTGTCGATAGTCTCTGTACAATGGATGTGTATTATCTTGCCTAGGAAGCTGTTTGTGAATGCTTGTATTTGTATTGCCCAATTCATTTCTCAGAAATGATTCACAATGTTCCCGTTTGTTTACCACACGATCGATCCTCACGAAAAGTAAATTGTTTATCTCTGAGTTGGGCATCTACTAGATTTTCCATTTGTTTCAGCTAGCTATATTGAAACATCCGATTGACACTAATATTAACGTGATTTTCCTGTGGTTCTTACACTTACTAGGAACTCCTTTTTTGGAGTATCTTTATGAAGTATCCCTCTTTCCAGTCTGTTGATACCTGTTCTTTCTCAGATCTTTCTGAAGAAAACGTGAAACATGATTGAATTTGCTTCTATGTCTAACTTCGTTATTTCAGCTAGTATTCCAACTGTTCTTACTGTTTTGCAATTCTTGATTTGTGTGATGGTCTTGTTTGGTCTTTTATTGTTGGTGGGGTATCGTCTATAAGGTGATCCTCGTGCGCTGTTCCTATATCCGCTAGGTTCAGATTAGCTAGTCTATTCAGAAGCTCTTCAAAGTGCTGTATCGCCTCTTTTGTTTTTGTTGGGGATTCTAGATTCTCAAGAATCACCTTGGTAAATGTCTCATTTTAATAATTATATCTTGGAAATTTGGATTTCTCATTTTTGCGCCTTTGTATTCTCCACTTTAATGGGCTTTAAATGTCATTGGCTCGTTCTCTCTTTTACTACACTATTTTGTGACGTTTTCCAAGGACATTTTTGTACTGCATACTGACTCATAACTTGTATTCTTGTTCGTTCGTGCTTCTGGCTGCTTGTGGAATATCTATTTTTCCTGCTGAATATGGTCTTCTTCCTCTAGTTAGCAGGACTGGGGCGCAGCTTAGCTTATTTTATTATTGTCTTGCTGATTTTGTTCCGTTTCGCCGGTTCTCGGTGATATCGTAATTTCTTCGGACTTAACAGTTTTACGTCTTCGTCACTGACTGGTCGCTCTTGTCTACTACTTTTTCCTGTTAGTTTTTTGCGTTTGTTATATGGTTCTTCCATGCGTTATTTTCCTTTAACTTGTCCTACTGTAGTTGTCAGGTCTTTTAAATATTTATACTTGTCAGATGTGATGCTCTTCTTTACTCATTTGTTTGCTTCTGTATATTCAGTCTGTATCTTGGCTTTCTTTGCATTTTTTAAGCTTTTTTAACTTCTGTCTTCTTGTTTATCCTTTCTTGATTTGCACTCACTGTCTTTATCGATCCATACTTTATGCTGGTGTTTCTTAGACTTCAGGGTCTATTGGTATATCGAAGTTATTACTTTCTAAGTCTCTCCCTAGTTGTTCGCAATAGTGGTTTCTTGTAGTGGATTCTGTCATAGATGGGGTGTGTTGTAAAACAGTTGTAGTTTAAAGTGTAGTGTATGAATTTATAAATATTGGTAACGGGAACTTTCAAACAATCAATACAAATGGATTAATATCCACTCCGTTGCACAAGCCAGCGACCGTCTGGACTCAGTAGCTAAATGGATAGGTTCATTGGGCGTTTGAAGCGAAAAATAATGGTTTAGAGTCCCAGTGTAAACCGAGGCGAGGGCACATCCAGCTGACTAGTTCCCAAATAGGATGAAATCCGCGTCCTGGATTCCACTGCTAGCCGGCATCCAACTCTTCTCATAATTTGTTGTTTTAAATAGCTCACAAATCATCGTTAATGTCTTAGTGTAAATTAATAATATATTCATTGTAATGTTTTTATTATGTACACAGTCCTTCTAAATACCCTCGACTTATCAACTCTCCATTCCTTACATAATTCTCTTATATTCTGTGGTCATTTTATTTGAGTTCCCTATTAGTCTTGATAATAATTTCAATATAAACTTGTCTGATTCCTTTTTATTTATGTATTAGGTGAGTGTAAAAATAAAAATGTCGAAATTTGTTGGCATTTCCTGCAGCTTAGAAAACTGTGCCGATCGTAGTATTCTGTTAGGGTTATGCTTAGTCGAAATCCTGTTACGACCATCAGGAACTGTACGCATTGAAGCCGCTCCATCACAACCAGGAAAATATTATTTGAATGTTTATGTTTCACCTGATTGGCGGCGTGAAGACATCAGGGAGTTGGCATGTTCATTCCAGGTTAGCAGTTGACCATTTTAAATCTGTTTCTCATTTTAACACTTGAATCTTTCAGGCCAGTTGACTAATATAAGGTCTGTAGGACTTTATATTATCATAATCCGTTTTAGGTTTTCGGATTTGTAAATAGTTCACAAATAAGTAATTTATTCATTGAAGCTCTTATAAATTGTCTAAATGATATCAAAACATTATCATTAAACAAATTTCGGTAATTAATGATTACAAAATATTGTTTTAATTAGAATTAGAAAATCATAAGTTTTTGTTGGATTTTAATATCACTAATATCAAATGATCACTATGGTGGAGCTTTGGCTTAGTGATTCAAGTATTTGACTTTCAGCCACTAAATCTCAGGTTCAAGCCCAGCTCCAACCACATTGGGTTGGGCAACCAATTAATATAATTAGCTCCCACACTTAGAGTGTGGCTCATATCAAAGTACATGGAAAATGAGTTAATCTGAAGTCTATTATGGTATTAATTTGTGATTTTATTTATTGCACAATAGTTTCCTAGAATCGTTCGTACACAAGGAATTTAGAAATAAACGTAAGTCTATTTTTCTCTTATATTAGTGCCTGTGTTGTTGATCTGAGTGCTATTTTACCCATTAACAAAACTTTTATTTGTATATAATTACCTGTTTAACTAAACGAGTTTGCAGTGACATAAGAATATAGCAAACTGTTTCAGTCATAACCGGTATATTTATATCTTTTATGATTAATAAGTTGACAACTGTTTTCAGATTTTTATAATTACAGTTTTTGTTTGCGTTACTCTTGTGTACATAGTTTTTGAAATTTTCGCAAAACCTTGGCTTGAGTTTTTTTGTTTAAAATCTTAATGATCATGGTATCATATCACATCTTTATTTTTTATGACCTTTTTGTTTTTCTTCCACAGATTCATTGCTCAGAATATAATTATTCTCGTCTAGTTGTGACTGGTCGATTGCCTGAAGTTGGCTTTCTTGGTCGTACACCTGCTTCAGAACTCCATGGCGTGCTAATGGTACCAGAAGGTGATGCGTCAGATGGTCGACCATACATTGTACACAGTGATCCAAGACCTCTGAAAATTCCTTTTGCCATTGCTCCTGGTTTAAAGGTTAGATCGATCAGACAATTTTCTTCCTTACTTAATATCAAATAATTAAGTAGGTTAAATTCAAATAAATTAAAAAAACTCCCTGTGCCGTACTCATTCTAGTCTTGAATAAATACAACTTAACTAATATGAAAACTAGTGTATAAATTAAAAATATTAGGAATGAAGATTGATTACTTATTTCAAGTGCGAATTTTGAAGATTGATGTTGAATGTCAGTAGGAGGAAGGTTCATATCTCTCAGCTTTTATATACAGTAATAGGGATTTATGTTGAGAATGGTATGTAGTCGCTTGTTGTACTACTCATAACATCAACTTAATTACTCTACTCGTTACGTATTCGCCAGGCTACACAGATTTCAACATTCCCAAATCTTAAATTAGAACAACAGAAGCCAATCATATAGTCACATGTAATTTCACCTTTTTATTCATAACAAAACTACACTGTATCATAATTTATCAATCTTAGTTCATAACTAAAACATTTGTGATACAAAGGTGTTTAGTATATCCAGAGAATCTTGTCAACAGTCTTCAGCCATACAGTGATGTAATAGTAGAGTAATATGTGCTTACATTTTGGATGAAGTATGTTAACCACTAAATGATCAGTAATGTACTTGATCCTATCTACTCCATGACTTATTGGAACTCCAAGGACGTTTACGGATTTATGGATTTGACGATATGTGAAAGACACGGATTATACTTAGTGTAGTTATGTTTATGACCTTCGATTCCATGTTGTCGAGAGGCTTTTTATATTACAAATTTCCACTAAAGAGGTTAACAATGTTTTGCGTGATTTATAATTCGGCCTAAAGTACAGTTTCTTTAAGCATCTTAACTTGTTACGGCACATAAGTAGTATGACCTAATTTTCTTGTATGCTTTCATGAATGCTATAAGTTCTAATTTAGAACTATTGATTTGATAAGATATATCTCTTGCATAGGTGAGACTATTTCTCGATATGAATACCGTATCAGGATTCTCAGGAATACGTATATACTAAAATCAGTGTAAGCTGGTCGTAATTAACCAAAATTATGGGGTTCTAGCGTGGAATCGAAGCTTCTGTAAATTTTCCATGGAGGCAGTAAAATTTCATGTTATACTAATATCAGCTAAATTTGTTCTTACTATTATTTTTGTAGCTATGCCACCAATTAAAATCGTTTGATCGACCAGGTCATCAAATGGCAGATTGTGATAGTTATGCATTGCTTCAAATGAAACCAAACCATCACAGTAGTATTACGCATTCAAAGCCGTTCAAATCTCAGGCTAATGCCTATTATAACGTTCGTCTACCTGTTCAAGCATTTTACTACTTGACTATTTATGCTTTTAATGAAAATGATATTGTCAAAGATCATCTAGACTGTGTGTATCGTATTTTAATTGATGCACGTAACTGTCGTTCTTCTGAGTTAATTCAGGCTTATCCGCGTCAAACATTTTGGTGGGTTCAGTGTCGATTAATTGAACCTAAACATCAGCATTTGTTCATTAATCGAAATTATAAATTTTGTCTAGACGCTCCTCAATGTGATTCTGTAGCTGTTGTAATCAATGGATCAGAATGGCACTTCCTTACTCCATCTTCACCAATATCACCATCTAAACTTCATTCACCATCTGGCAATAATCATAGTGGTCGTTGGAGTGGTAAAATTTATACTGGCAAATGCTTGGGACAGCTATCTGTGTTTGGACGTATACCTCATATTAATAAATTTAAGGAGATAAGTTTAGAAAATGAATGCAGAATAATTAATGATTCCATGCATGGGGGTTCTAATGGTAATGACCATGCAAATAATACTAATACTACTACCACTAATAATAATAACAACGATGAAGATGATGAAGAAAATTCCTATATTAAACTTTTAGATTATATTCTCGTTCAAAAAGAATTGTTTAGCTAACAGTCTGTTTAAGTTTACTAATAATTATCCTTACAGTTTATAACATCTAATCAAACTGAACACTTCCATTTTCTGTGGATATTACTTTTTTTATTACCAATTATATTCTTCAGAGTAGCTCAACTGTTAATACTACGTGTTTCAAAGTACAATAGTTAATAATAATCATGTTTATTATGTATTAGTTGAATATATTTTGTGAATTCCTTACTTCCACTATTTATCATCTGTGTATTTAAATGTCTATAAAAAGAAATAATTGAAATTATGCTCTCACAATTATTCTTCCACTTATGTGTGATAAAATTTATTAGTTGTTTTTTTTTTTACTTATTAACATTTATTTATTTACTGTTATTTTGTTATCGACTAGCTATTTTGCGTGTATTTAGTAGTTTTACGTCAGTTTAATTCCGATTGAAAAGAGATTCACATTAAAGTATAATATGTAGGGAGAGGGGGGGAGAATAACAAAAAGTGTTGACTTTTGACTGTATTTATTACGCTTCACTATTTCTTTTTGTTTGTGAGAAAATTTATCCCACTAACTGACTAAAATATGATGGAGATTTTTTTTTCCATTCCTAGTTGATTACTTTGGTTTCCCAGTCGATTGATTTCTCTCTTTGGTGGTTAGTAAAAATACTGCATTAAATGATAACAATCACTTATTTTCTTTTGATTGACGCATAATCTGAACTTCAATCGACTCTCAATGACTATGCACAGTTTAACAGTTATCTAGAGGAAATGTTTTTCTTCTGCTAATATTATCAATAATAATGCTGACAAAGAGAATTTAGCGAAGAAAATTTTGATTTCGACGAAACCATTTACTTAAGTTGTACACTCGTATTTATAGTCATATGGAAAATATTTCTATAGAAGGATAGAAATGACTGCATCATAAATTGATTCCAGACTTATTACCAGATGAGGTTACGCAAGAAAATTTTCTACGCTGAATTCTATTTTTGTTCAGTGACACAACGGGTTATTTTAATAATGCTATTAATTTAATATTTTTATTTGATTCGATTTTATTTTCTTTTTTATTGAATATATGATAATAATAAAAAGAGGGCTACGTAATTCTTTACGCACACTCAAAAAGAAACATTTATTCTTTCGGAAAAGTTTTCTGACTCTCAGTTGATTATTATTTCTAATTTATTCACTAAATTCTATGCATATTCATTTTAACTGTGTGCATAGCTAACATGTAATTAGTTTCTTTGTTAATTGTTTTCCTCTTGCCTTATTATTGATTATGTAGTTTTAAAACAATTAATAATGCGACGGGTAACTTTCAGTCTCCAACTCTTATTAAAGTTTGTTGATATAAAGTGAAAGAAAATACTGGAATTTATATATTTGGTCGTTTTTCCTTCTTTTCTCATCACTTACGTTTGTGTATTGTGTATGATACGATACATTTGTGCTTACTTAATTAGTTTGACTGTTTTCATATTGTTTACTTATGTTTGAATATATAATGTATACGGAGGGCAATAATATACTTTTGTTAAGCAGCTGTTGTCATCTAAAGGCGCGCGAATACTGTTGGTATTTATTTATTTTTTAGTGTTTGCTAATTTAAAAAAACACTGTCATTTGGTATTCAATGGTTAAATATGACTAGTGGTGAACATTTCAGAAGTAATATTTTTGACTGTTACATAGCGTGATACGAGACCGTATCCCACAAGGAGCATCTGTTTTGTCTAGATTGTACATATGGTTTGCCAATGAGCTCCAACTTCCATGAAACTAGATTCCAACCGTCATCCATGTACGGTTAAAGGGATATGTAAATCTTAATAGTTGTTGTCTAGACCAGATTAATGGATTACCATTTACAATATTAATATTCAACGAATCGTCACTACAGAATTAAACTTATCGGAAACTTTCAATTAATTGCAGAGTTTGGTTAAAACGTCATAGAAACCAGGCTTATTGCTTTCAAGATAAGTGAGGAGGGGGAATAGGAAAGTTTCTTGACTCTCAGTTTTGTCAAAGAGACGAAGCTTGTTTAAATTTATGTGCCAAATTTTAATCGAATAGCGGGTCCATATTCGGAAAAAATAAAAAAAAACCGCTTTCACGCACAAGTCGATCACCCAATATACTTCAGAGGTTTTTGTTAGCATATGTAGATTGACTAATCTTTGATAGTGTTATAATTGGCATTTTAAAATAGAGCTGATCATAAATTCAATATTTCTTAAGGACATTCTTGCCCATTTTAAACTAATAAAGAAAACTCTATGTTTATCGATTTTGTAAAGTTTAACTTTTACAAATCTTTCTACGAAGTAAGAATAATCACTAAAGATGTAAGAACTCAGCAAATGAATTTGTTGATCTATCTGCATACTATTAGCTAAGGTTCTCGAATTCCTTTGGTTATATATGCTGTTTTAACTTCTGTATAAATATTTAAAAGACGGCTTCTTTTGTCAAACCTACTGACTTAGTTTTATAAATCGCTAGTCTCCCATCACACTTTTATTTTGATCATTGATTTGTCAGCCTTTGTCTAGGATACTTAGTATTTGATAGGATTTCAAGTACTATTGTGGCTTTAAATCTGAAGTTACTTATTAAGGAAATTTTATGTGTACTGAAGTCGAATAAATGTACCGAACATCATTTTTGAGCTAAGAAAGTAATTACATTTACCAGAATAAAAATTCTATTACCGGTTGCTGAATTGAACCATCTTAGCAGTGAAAAACTCTGAAACAAGGGTTAATGTACTCCTTCAGTCTACCGAGTTATTCATTTTCCATCTTCATGCCCCAGCGATTCGGCATCTAATGTAACATGTCTAGTTCTTTTATAATCTCATTGATTGGTTGACTGAAAAACAATGGTGCATACTATTTCTCTGAAATCAGTCTATGGTATAGATGAAAAATAAATGTGATTTAACTAAGATTATTTATTTCATCCTCTAGTGTATATAGTTGATTGTCATACTTGTTTTATAACCATTATTTAAACACCCCAGACATGCAATTCAAAATCAATCAGGATTTCGCTAAAAATTATAACCGGTATCGTCAAAAGGAGGAATACGAGAAACTAAAGGCTAAACACGGTGATGCTAAACTGAAGGATATTAAACTACCCAAGTTAACTGATACTAATTTCAAAGTGGACGAAAATGTAACCGTTGCTTCAGTTTCAGATAATGATGATGAAACTACTTCTTCAAGTTCCTCAGACACTGATGATAGTTGGGAAGAAAAACAGCAAGATGATTTTTTGACTCTATATCAAGCATTATGTACAAATGATCCATCCCTTAATGATCCTAATAAACAATGGTTTCGTGAACCTAGTGAATCGGATGATGAAAGTTCAAAGTCCTCAGCTGAAATTTCCGAGTCGGAAATTAACAAAAATAACAATAAACAAATGCAAATAGATGTCAAGACAGAAAAGAAACGCGTTTTGAAACTTCGGGATTATGAACGCGAATTTCTTCTGGCTCAAGATGGATTGGAGGATGAAACTGTTTCAAAGGAGGCTCAGAAAATTGCTCAGATGGAAAGTGATGACGTTTTGAAAAAAATGAAGACACAGTCGATAAATTTATCAAAGGAACAATTTATACAGTAAGTGTTAGTAGACTTTAAGAATGTTTCAGAAATTTGGTTATTTCAGGATTAACAATTGTATGAGAGTCTAAGAAGAGTTGTTATCATCTTCCAAAGACGTTAGATACTACTAGAAGTTTTAGAGTTTAGTGTGATTCTGTGTCTTGTATCATGCTTTCGTATTTCTGATTAATAAAGAATAGATATTTGGTTTTCTAATCATGTAAAGCTCAGAAACCGCAAACCATTTTCTTTCAGTCTGGATGCAAGTTGATAGACTATAGCTTTACTCGCAGGCTCTTAAACATGTATGTACCGCTATCCGGCCAATGATAAATTACTTATGTGCCAGTTAACCGAGAGGTCTTATGGTTATTTCGTCTTTTAAAAAGGTTAAAAATGTACAATATTGCACTTCAGACCATTTGAATACTCAGTGCCAGGTCAGCATTTAACAAGTTATCATCAAAAATAAGACTTAGTTAGAGAAGTCTTTTTCCGTCAATTACTAGTTGACATACTTCAAAAAGTAACCGTTTTTTGTAATTTCTGGAAAATCTACCAACTCCTTGATATTTTATTGTCATTTTGAAGCAAATATTCGGCGTCCTGTTTGGTGTATATTCCGAAAAATTCGTGGATTTCTGAGCACATTGAGTGGAAGTTTATGATTTGTTTATGCTTGAAGGGCCTACGTAGTCTGTAATGTCGATGTTAGACTCGAACTGATTCTTGAGAGATGTGTTACATATACCACTCACTTTATACCCAAGAGTACTATAGCAGCTGATATTATTAACGGTTTGGCAAAGGTTGAGTATCAAGATTATCCTGTCAGGTCAATGACACTGGATCTAAGCTGTTTAGGTTTCGTAGTTGGAGTTCACGAAATTATTGCATTCTAAGAATAAAGACCAGGTAACGCAACGTAGGCTCATTCGTAGTTACGCACGTCGATATTAATTCTTTGAACTGTGTTTTATACTCTTCGCTTTTTTCCCCATGTCCTTATTCTTTTGTTCTATTGTAATAGATATTATCATTCTGAATCCATTGTTTTAAGTTTTTTGACGGTTAGAAACTTAATTTATTGCACATTAAGTGCATGTCAAACACTAAATTATTCTCAAACCTTTTTAATACATCATATACTTTTAGGGCAAATCAGTATATAATTTTTCTGTCCTGTTGTGTAAATGACTATTTGTAAGACTAAACGCCGTTATAATACGTCATTTCTAACTTCAGCCAGTCTAAGCATTTATATTAAATTAATATTTTTTACGATTACTGAATCTAATGAGTGAGGCTGTTATGTACTAGCCTATTTCAAGCTAGTTGTAACCTTCTCCAGTTCGACCAAACTTGTATCTCCTGTGTCATTATCTTTATTAAGTTAGTGAGTGCTTGATAACTGACAAGTTTTGAAAGGGTTTCACTACATACTTTGACTTCGATTTTGATTATAGGTCATTTTTTCAGCCACTCAGTAAACGGTTTTTCAACAATATTCTTGCATTTTGAAGTACGTTTTATTTATTCTTGTAGAGAGGCAAATGAAGCACTTAATCAGGCGGCTGTAATTTCAGATCAAATGAAGGACAATAGTAACAGTGACAGTAAAAATGATGACTTAAATTTTTTACGGAAGCGCAAAATTGAAATAGAACCACCCACTTCAAACAGAAAAAAGCGTGAATCTCATTATGTGAGTTTGATTAGTTATATTATTTGAAAAATCTCTCGTTTTTATCAATACTGGAAAATAGTCGCTTCACTACCACTGCACGGGCCTTAGTTATCGAGTGACTGTTGTATATTAACAGTCCAATGGTTAACTATTTTCATACCGAAACACCCCTCGTCTTTGTTCCATGTCGGTCAGTAACAACGTGCTTTCATCTATTAAATTCAATAAAGGGTTAAATCTTCTGTTTTTATTTTGCTTAACAATCATTGAAAGTGTTGAATACGCTTCATCTGTTTAATGTCATTTCGACATTCTTATTTACATAAAATCCCTATTTGTGGATTCCTCGTTTTTGTGTTTTATATATTGTAGATTTCTATTTTCGTCATTAAAGTGAAATATGTTTTCATTAACCAAGAATTCTTTAGATTGTTTTTCCTTATGTTTTTGTGTCTACAACTATGAAGTCATATTGGGATTGTTCAGCTGTATTCTCTTTTTGTTTAATTTTTTGTGATGAGGTTAGACATCGTCATTTTTGAAACCTCGCAATACCTTTATTGACGACTTAGTAGAAGTCCAACATGCGCTTTTATTATCTATATGACTCCACTAACTTCTTATACCTTCATGCTAACAAGACTTTTGCGGTGATTCACCTCCTGGGCCTATGGTTTCAAAAATATGGATGCCATCCATTCAGCTACTGAGTTGTGATAAACAGTTTTTGTTCAGTTGATGTTAATTTCTTATTACTGTATCGACCAACATCTAAAATTTTGATTCTTTGTAAATATGTTCGAATGTTAACTTTGAGTATGTTTTTTTTGTTGTCCAGTTGGCAACGCTCGAGTAAGATGATGGCATGGACATCCAATGCAATATATATATATATATATATATATATATATATATATATATATATATATATATATCACATTACTATTCTGTTTACTTACTTTATACCAATAGTCAAGATTTGTGTAACTGATATTGATCTTCAGTTCCTGATGTATAAGTAGCATTATTTTTTTACTTATCATCAGATGATTGAAAATTAAAAGCACAAAGGAAATGTTAGTGGTGACTAGACCATTTTAGATACCTAACATTTTAATGAGATATTAGACAGTGTAACATGTATTAATGATTTTGTGCTCTGTATAAGCTTTCTTATTTCACAAAGGCCAAATTAAAGTAGAATTAAATTTGGACGTTTATATGGACAGCAATAATTATAGGTCGTGCCAAACTGAAGATTTATTGAATTGATTTTTTGTGCCCGTATCTGACATTAACATTAATGTACCCCATATTTAATTGCGTAATTAACGATTGACATATCCCGTTAATGCACAACTGAATCAAAAATCCGACATATCGCGAAAACATATTTATTTCATTCGTTATACTTTAGGTAGACAATCATGCTAGCGAAGACTATGCAGATGCGCCATTTAGTTAGGATACCAGCCGACTTATCCTAGTTTATCCTATGTATAAAATAGACTATATAAGATATAACGAGCAGATACACAACCAATTAGATTATATGTACAAACACAAACATATCCTCTAAGTTAACGCGCAAATATCCAACAAAGACAAATATAACTGTACAGAATATCCGGAGAGATTAGAATAATTTGTCTGCCTAGAAACTAGAATCAGTCATGTGGGTGTGAAACCGTCTCAAGAGTTGACGTCAGAGGATTTCTAGAACTACAGTGTAATGACCAAATATGACTCACGAATCAAGGATTGTTGGTGAATATCATCGTCTATAACAATGTAAGAGTTTGTTTCGGGTCTTAGATACTGATGATTTGGTCGGGCGATAACGCCGCACGTCTTTCAATGTACTATCTCTTTCAGTGGCTTCTTTGGTTGCTTCAAGAATAACCAGTAATCCAGGAACGTTTTCCACTAATACACTGTAAACTTCGGCTTCGTTTGCCATGAATACCACCAATATGTCTTCCTCTGGTTTTGTATGGAAGTCGATTAATATTACCAAGGTATTTACATGTCCAAACTTACTCGTCGACTAGTACTTAATTTCGAAATCGTAGCCCAGCAGCATAGATACCCCTCGTTATTGGTGGTGCGTAAACTGGAATGCCCTTCTTACATATATGGTCTGTTAATAACGTACACTGCTGACCAAACATTTTGTGGAACCTTTTCACTGTGAAAATGATAGGTAGAGCTTCCGTCCCTGTTTGACTGTAGTTCCTCTCTGTCACTATCAATGATCTAGGGAAATGAGCAATAATTTCTTCAGATCCATTAGGATAGTCGTCTGAAGTGGCTGCTCATATTCCGTAGTTGGAAGCATTGAGAGCAACCACAGTTGATAGGGCTCGATTTTAATGTGTAAGCCAAACATCTGACGATAGGAGCTGTTTTATTCAGAAATACCTTCGAAGCATTCATTGAGTGCAGTGGAATTACGGTGTAACTAGCTCTGAGACCGATTATAGGTTACTAGATAGAGGTATTTACTCGACTAGAGTGAGTTCCGGTAGACAGTCGTAATATAATATACTGTTTACCTAACAGGTCTTAATAAATAGACTGGTAATTCAGTTTTAAATATCTCCGTTTGTTATTTTTTTATCTCTTTCCAGGATTTAGATAAAATAGTTTTTACTGATTCAACTAACAAAGAAGCTGAAGAATTTTTACGTGATTATATTATAAATAAACGTTGGATTGAACCTAATTCACAACGAAGTAATAAAATTCCAACTTATTCTGATGTTCTACAAGAATCCGGCTTAGATATAAATGGGGATAAACTGAAAAATCTTTTAAATGATGATGATATTCTTGATGAAGACGATGAATTCCTTGTTAAATTAAATAACTTAGAACAGGGACGTTTACAGTCTTTAGGTGTTAATGTAAGTTTTACAGAAATATTATTTACAATTTATGGTAGTAGTAATTGTCATTGTTTTTATTTCCTACAATCATTATCCATCAATATTAAAAGTTTTATATCTATTCAGAAAACGTGAATCATGATGATGGCTTGCTAACTGCTCATTACTCGGATACACGAAAAATATGGATTTTATGCGGTAGATTTTGATAGCGTATTCTTGAATTAACCGGTCTTTGGCTTATGTAATATTTATTTATACTATAATAATTATAACAATTGGCCTGAGGATAGTTATATCCAAAACTCGATTCCATATATAGATTTAAAGATCTTGAAAGGATCAGCTTTACCATCTTACTAAGCAGCGTCTGTTATATATTATGTATAAAAGGAATCATCAAACCGATATTTCCAAAATGACTATTTTTATTCATCAACGCGCATTATTTTATGCGAAGAGAAAATTTCAATTTCACAACTTTTCCCCTTTGTATCGTTAATCAGGTCACAGTGTTCACATGGTAACAGCCTTTCAATATGATAAGGTAATCATGACAGTTTATCACTTAATTATCTTATTTAAGTCTTATATTATTTTCTATGGATAGGATGACAAGTAATTGTAACACGGCCAAGGTCATTAAGTTAAATTTATTTTTAGCCTAATATTTCGGGACACTTTTTAAGGGTTCAATTGGATAATTGGATAGCTATTATCTTAATCGTTCAAATATTCTTATATCTAAGTAATTAGTCGAAGATGAAATAAGTTGAAAGTCTATATGTTTTACAGCTTACCCTGACGATATCAGCTATCACTGATTAAAAACATTTTAGTTATCTTGTTTTTTTCTTCACTTCATTACAGTATTAATAACGAAATAATCCTTTATTTGAGTGAGACTTTTTACAGCGTCACAATAAGTTTTAATCGTTTCTTCATTTATGTGAGAATAATAAGTGAACCTATGTCTGTGGTTTAACAAAATTTAATCCAATCATTATTGATTTCGATTGGTGGCTAACAGAGGGACTCCGGATACTCCTTTAAGTGAAGATCTCAAGTGCTTTATAGTGCTTTCTCATAATTAAGAAATTTAATTTATAGCAATGATTTCCACGCACTTGACTGTTAAATAATGATTCGGATTGTCTCAGTTTTGTTGGTACATAGTCGGTCCTTAAAAAATCCAGATTATTGATCTCGAAGTTGAACGTCTAATGAATCTTTTGTTGTGTTCAGTAACTGTCAAAAAGTTTGGTTAGCACTGAAACTTGTGTGATTCTTTTGTAGTTCTCACACTTCTTTCTTGAGTATCTTTATGAAGTATCACTCTTCCCAGTCTGTTGGTACCAGTAGATCTCGTAAGACCTAAAACTTGGTGCGTGCACTCAGTGTTGTCCATCTCAACCATGGTATCCAGGTCACTCATCAGAATGACCAGGTTTTTCCTAGTCATCTACCCAGGGTGGACTGCAGCCTCATGAAACTGGTCTTTATAGTCTTCACTGTAAACACCAGTGAGTACATAGCATTGAATGATATCGATTGTAATCCCTTTCTTCTTATTTCCTTAAGGATATTTTGATAATTCTAGAGCCGTCAGTCTTCTATTATTTGAGTGCTTATAGTGCCTTTCTTGAAGAAAATCAGTGCAAGTGGTTGTGTGTTGGAAATTTTTTGAACCAGAATACAGTCACAGCTCTTAACCTAGTCTTTTCAGTCCAGATTGTATTTAATGTTTTTTACTTTTTGTAGGTGGCACGAAGCTGTATGTTTTCATTTGTGCGTTTATTTAAATGACCCCCCTGCCCTTCCACACTTTTCGGACACTACTTAGTTATATTACTTGTTGCTTCGGTTGTAAGAAGCTCCATCAAACTTATGACCTCCGAAGACTCGGTTTTCATTATTTGTAATACTTCTATATGAAAACGCTTCGACTCCTCGAGGTGAATGTGATTAGCGTTCTCTGGTCACTGACTTTGTGGTGGGATTCATTTTTACGGGTTTCGTGAGGTTAATAACCTCTTACTCAACTTTTTTCCATCACCCGAACCTTGGACATACGTTAGCTTCAGAATAGCTCCAGTGAGAATTCATTTCCATAATAATAACAATAATAATATAATGACGTGTGTTTGTGAATTTAATCACATAATGATAATAATCATAATTGTTGCTAATAATCTTCGTATCGTTGTTTTTCGCTGTTCACTACAGACGGGTGTTACAAAACTACATAAAACTGAGCATCGTTTTGAAGAAGAAGATAAAGAATTTGTAAGATGCTATTTTTGTTGAATTCATTATGTCTATGTATAAAGTCATTCCAGTCATTTCTTATGCAAATTAACTAGTTGAAATTCACTTTTAGTGATCTGTACAGTTTACTTTTTTAATAAACGATCATAGTTGGTTCACATTCAAATATAATATGAATTAAACACATAATAATCCATTTACGATTCAGAAATAATTAAACCCTTTATTTGTGTAAGTTAAAGGATTATTTATATTAAAAGATAAAACGTGCTGTGTTTAAGTTATTCCAGAAAAAAACTGTCCAAATAATTTGATTGAATATAGTTTCTGATATTCAATTGTTTTTGAACACTTAATTTAGAGTGTGTCATTCTTGTGAAACAGGCAAAACGTTGAACTTTTAATCATTGATTTGACTTTTTGAATCTGGGTTCATTTGTTTGCGTTTGATCTGTTGAGATGCATGAAAACGTTACCAAACTGAGAGATCATGTTGACCTATTACGTAGGATTTTAAGGAGGTTGATGTGTCTTCTAATGAAGTTATTGTAGATATTAGCTGACGCTTGGGGATGCAAGGTAGTTTCGTGGGACGAGATGATGTTGCTAGCATGGATTCACTACCCTAGTTTCTCTCACTATTAAAAAAATAGTGATGATCCATATTACCGCTATTCTCAGCTCTTCGTTTCTTATTAATATAATAAGTTATATATATCTGTTAAACTCGGATATTTTTATTTTTAAATATATCTACTCACAGATAAAATCCTACCCTCGAATTATAGAAAATAGTATTGGTCAAACACTCTGTGTTAAATCGAAACGAGCTGAACGGAGACAAGCTAAGATTGAACGTAAGCGAAAAGAGAAACAAGCTAAACTTCAAGAATTAACTCGCCTACGGAATCTAAAATTAAGTATGCTAGCTGAAAAAATTGAAAGAATTAAACGTACTTGTGGTCCAGGATCATTATTACTTGATGCTAATGAACTGATTGAATCACAGACTAAAGAATATAATAGTAATGATAATAATAAGTTGAAAAATTCAACCAAGGTAGATGTCCTAGATGTTGCTGAATATTTAGATGAAGATTGGGATCCTGAAAAGCATGAAAAGTTGTTGGACTCGATGTTTGGAAAACAGTATGAAGAAATAGATGAAGAGATAAAAAAGCCAGAGTTTTCGGATGATAGTGATCTAGAAGTGGAGCCTTCCGTAGATGATGGGCGCGATTCACACATGAAACAAGTAAGATCCATAAATATGTTTTTATTGTTTTGTGTCTTGTTACCATCTTCCACTGCTAAGAATATTTTGGACACATTATTTCACTTGACTGGCTTCAAATTAGATCTAGAATTGGAAGCGAAAGCAAATGCATCCCAAAAATCTGAACACCTAACGATGATATATTAGAAACAGTGTATATATAAAATTTACACAGCAATATACGAGTATCATTTCAGTTCATCTGCTCTAGGTTATTCATTGAAAATGGACCAATTGGTATTCTCCAATTAGATCTTGTTACAAGCATGCACTATACAAGGCTTTATTCTGCTAACAGATCTGTATTCTATTATACAGTAGTTAATCTCTTTAATATAATGAAAATTTACATTTCATTTCTCATAAATCTTCCAAAGTATTCATTACAACTGTATCTTCATAGTTGCATCAAGTCAAACGTTTTGGTTTGTCGACTAAATGTTGGGTTCTTTTGATGCTGTCATTTGTGCGCAATATCGTATATCATTGGCAGTTTGTGCATACAAACAAAATCTGAGATCTAGCATAAATTCTGCCGACTTAGTTGAAGTGATTTTCAAAATTATTGATTCACTTAGTAATATGACTACTCTATAGTCTAAATGCCTTGTATTCATTCTCAACTTGGTGACTAGGGGAGCTTCATTCTATGCTGTTAGACAATATAACGAAACTGTTGACCCGATTATCTTCTACTTGTCAATCGTATTTTAAATTGATATTTCCACCTTTTTACAATAAATTATTTCCTTTTGTCTTTATATGAGATCAGCATGAGTCGGAAACATCTATTAATAATGATTCTGGAGACAATGTACCATTAAAACACTCGAGCAATTTGAATTCTAAATACCAACTATCTACTGCAAATAATAATAAGTCAAGGCGTGGAAAACGGAGACTTTATGAAGCATTAGAGAGAAGCAAACCCATTTTCAATCCTGATGATTATCCAGACTATGAGGTAGGTGATGTCATTAAGTACATATTAGAAGTGTGGATATTAATACAACCGGTTTAACTGTTCTATTTATACGAATAGATAAACTTCAAGACGTTGTTGCTGTGGTTGAAGTGTGGCTAAAGTGCTAGCGTATCACTATCAGTCAGTCAGTCAGCTACAACGTAGGTCCAGGAACTTATGTGCATCGATTTAAGTTGCCATACCTCATTAACACAACAAGATGGACACCGGATTCATAGAAGTAGTTAATTCACTGGTGGTAATATATCAAAGAAAGATTGCATATAAGGATATAGTACAGGAAGAAAGGATTAGTTGGTAGAAGGAAAGATATAAAGCAATTTTAACCTCATAGTTTAAGGGAAGACAGAGAGTGTATACACCTACGTCATTGTGACCGATTCTGAGCCATGTCACCCAGTCTGCAATCATTGGTTACGATAGTCACGCGAACCCCAACCAAGTAGTCTGCATCTACCAACATGGCTAAGACTAGAAGTTAGTGACTTCAAGCACTGATGCCACGTTTTAGTTTGGCCGCCCCTAACTTCCTTCCAACCATCCCCAACACTAGTCAGTATTACTCGTCGTGGTAATCAGTGTTCAGGCATACGTAACACGTGGCCCGACCATCTCAGTCAGTGAAGATTCACTACACTAGAATTAAAATTTATGGTTAACTTCCAGTCATTTATTATTAACCCATGAACTATATGTGATTTCACTTACTTACGTCTGTTGCTCCTCGTGAAGGAGCATAGGCCGCTCACCAGCATTCTCCATCCAATCCCGTCCGGGGCAATCCTTTCCATTTCTTTCCAGTTGTTATTCATCCTTTTCATATCTGATTCTCTTTCCCGACGTAATGTGTTCTTTGGCCTTCCTCTTTTCTGCTTCCCTTCAGGATTCCAAGTTAGGGATTGTCTGGTGGTGCATTTCGATGATTTGCATAATGTATATCCTATCCATTTCCATCGTATTTTCCTAACTTGCTCTTCAGCTAAAAGCTAGCTTGTTCGCTCCCACAGAAGACTGTGTCTGATGGTATCCGGTCAATGGATGTTGAGTATCTTGCGTAGACAGCTATTTATAACTACTTGTACCTTCTGGATGATAGTTGTAGCTCCGTGCAGTAGAACTGCCTTGACGTTCGTATTTAAGATTCTGACTTTGATATTGGTTGACAGTTGTTTTCAGTTCCATATGTTGTTCAATTGTAGTAATGCGGATATATCATTTGTAATACTGTAATTACTGAATATTAGTAGTAACCTTAATATGTTTCATGTTTTAAAAATTGAATCTGTGCAATATCACTTGTGTAGCACTGAATTCAACTATCTTAAAATACAGATTGAAATCTGTGTTTTAAGATAGTATTAAATACTCGTGATTATTTTTTACATAAGATAATTTTGTGACATCACAACTGATGAACTGTTCGGTTGTTTTCATCATTATAATGTGTTCCTATAATTAGTCAATAAGAATATTTTCTATTACAACCATGATGAATAAAATCTGTGATTCAGAATAAATATAAACGAAAAAAAAACAGTATGATTTTATATAATATTTGATAATATTCTCTCTTCTAAGTGTTTTACGAATACAAAGTATACATTACATGGCCTCTTATATTTGTCACTATTTTATTCTATCCTCAAGTCTCTAGTTTAGATTGTTCATTTAATTTCTTTCCATGTTTATGAGTAATATGCATACTTTTGATTGTTCTATATGCTCTATATGTTCTAAATGCCCTGGTATAGCCAAGAGTGGAGTGGGTTCTCCCTCCCTCTCGAAATGCTCTCACACGGCCACGCGTATACAGCCTCTGCCAGGGAAGTCCTACTCACTGCCTTCTCGTGGCAGGGGTGTTGCTTACAACAATGAGAGGACGAAAAGCGAATGTCCGGCGCTTTCACCGGGTCCCAAACCAATGATGCATATGGGCTCCAGTATCCTAAGGTAACAAATGGAGTATGGACCGATTTCTTGGTCACCGGCTTCCATGGGACTGCATCTCTTCACGATGCTCCACTGCCTTGTGGATTAGACCTTTAGGTCAAAGGCTCGGGGTGTGACCCCCTAAGAAAACCACCTGCTTCGGTCTGGGCACCCGGGCAGTATCTCAGCCCACACACAAAAACATGATGAACAGTCTACTTATGGAAAATATTCTCTTCGCCCCGATTAACAATCAAATAACTCGCATTATTATCATTATTACTACTATTGTTATAATAATAATAATAATAATAATAATAATAATAATAATAATTATTATTATTATTATTATTATTATTATTATTATTATTTACCACGTCATTTATTCACTCGCTTTTATTTCCACTCTGTCTATCCTTATTTTTCTACTCATACAGCAGCTCGCCTATGGTGGACATTCGGCTCTATCTAAACGTTCTCGTGTCACTGCCTGGTTGAATCCCGACCGTAGCTGCTACCTTGACGTGGTGGTCGGGCTTGCCTATCGTGATGACCCAACCGAGCTATATTGGCTGGAACTCAAGTTCCTGCAGGTTCTACCATGCCAGGCAGGTCGATTGGAGAACGGTAAGACTAAAAGCAGCAACTCAAGGTCTGAGGGCGAAGTCGTACTGCTGACTGTACAGAGGTGTGACAGCAGTAAGGTGTTTCCCTCGGACAACCAGCATCTGAAGCGATGCTGCCTTCTCACAAGGAAGGAAGGGGTTAGAAAAGGTTGACCCTAAAAATGTCACACCTCACCTTACCCCACGGATTTCCGTCTCCGGCGGTAAGGCCCTTTGAAGAACGGAGCTAACACATTAAAAACCTCCCACAAAGAGGCCGTGCGCGACCGGCCTCAAGCAGTTGTCCCTTGGGCTCTGCGGTCACGCACTCAGGTCGCTAAGACCAACACTAATCCGATTTCCTTTTCAGGTCCCTCAAGAAATACCCTTCCACGGTGTGGGCAACCGGGAAGTGATATCAACCCTCATACCCGTAACAGCACACGAGACCAAGTTGGTCACATTCAAATCCTTCCTACACCTCCTAATAACTCTCTTATCTCCACGACTAACTCTTCTCACGTCCCTTTATCACCTCGCCCCACTAGTGCGAACGATTCGAGTACGCGGAATGTTATTCCTGGTCTCCTGAAACCACGCTCCAAACTACACGTAGGAGCTTTCAACGTCCGAACACTGTGCCAAATAGGACAACAAGCTTTCTTAGCTAAGACTTTAGAATCTCGCTCCATCGATGTGTGCTGCGTCTCCGAAACGCGCACACAGGATCCTAGTAGTGTCATTCATTTGACTGCACCATGTCAAAGTAACGAACCAACTCGATTTACGCTTCGTGTATCTGGAAGCCCTGATGCTGCATCCCGTGGCGTCGCTGGCGTAGGTATAGCATTGAGTCCTAGGGCAGAACTAGCTCTCTTAGACTGGATCCCAGTAGACAGTCGTTTGTGTGCTGTCCGACTAAACGGAACAGTAAGGATTCGAAAAGATAGGGACACTCGTCGTTGCCTCTTCGTCGTCTCTGCCTACTCTCCCACTGACTGCAGCTCAGATGATGTAAAAGATGAGTTTTACAAAAAGCTTTCCGACCTTCTCCGAAAAGCTAGGCGTTCAGATGTAGTAATAGTGGCTGGTGACTTTAATGCTCAAGTAGGTAAACTAAGCGAAAAGGAAAGACACCTGGGTGGATCATATGGTGTCGCGGCTCAAAGAACAGATAACGGCGACCGTCTGTTGCAGCTATGCTCAGATAACAACCTGTTTCTTGCAAACACTAACTTTAAGCATAAGGAAAAACATCTTTTGACATGGCGACCCCCTAATTCGTCTCAACGCTGGACCCAAATAGATCACATCGCTATCAGCCACCGATGGAGGGGCTTGATAGAAGACTGTCGCTCATTCTGGAGCACATGCTTAGACTCAGATCATGCTCTAGTGCGAGCGCGTATCTGTCTACGTCTTACTGGACGTAGGAAAGATGGTACAAGGAAACCCCTTAGGGTCCTACTTAATGATAGTCAAGCTAAGAGTATATTTCAGGAACATCTAGAAAAACAGTTAGGCAGCCATGTAAGTGATACCCACCCCGAGGCAGCATGGAATGACATCCGAAAAGCTGTAGAAACAGCAGTGATGTCTGCAAGTACGGTAAACCATAAGGTTAGGGAGAAACACTGGATCTCAGCAGCATCTACCGCACTGATAGATGCTCGAAAACTCATTCCATCTGGCTCTGAACATAACGAAGAGTGGAGTCAGCTTAAGCGTAAGCTGACTAGAAGCCTACGCAAAGATCGTGAACAGTGGTGGGTAGCGAAAGCAAGAGAGATGGAAAAAGCAGCGGCAATAGGTAACAGCAGGCAACTGTTCAGACTTGTTAAGGAAACCGGTATTAGGAACCCAACTGTTAGTGAAACAATCGCAGAGAAAGATGGACATATTATTCATTCTCAATCCAGGAGATTGGATCGATGGGCAGAATACTTTAGGGATCAGTTCAACTGGCCTTCAGCCACACTTCGGTTTCCCACGATCTCCAGTCGACCTGAATGGCAAGTTGATGTAAGTCCTCCGACTCTTTATGAAGTTGAAAAAGCTATAGGAAATCTGAAGCGTGGGAGAGCAGCAGGCCCTGACAGGTTTACCCCTGAGATTTTTAAGGATGGCGGTCCAGTATTAGCAGCGAGATTGACTGAGGTCTTAGGTAGAATCTGGGAACTGGACGTAATCCCATCTGACTGGTCTCAATCACTGATTGTACCAGTCTATAAGAAAGGACAAAAGTCCTCTTGTGACAATCACAGAGGAATTAGTTTGACTAATATAGTGTCTAAAATATTAGCTTCAATAATATTTCGACGCCTAACCAAAGCTCGTGAAGAGCAGACATGAGAAAACCAGGCTGGTTTTCGACCTGGACGTGGTTGCATTGATCAAATATTCACATTACGTCAGGTCCTAGAACATAGACACACATTCAGACGC